CAGCAGCCACACCCTGGTAAACCATTTTGGCAAATGGGCTAAACCAGGTCAAGGGTACCAAGGGGTCTCAAACCCATTGGTGAGTTACAGGGGTGTCTACCCCAAGCATGTGAAGACTTCCCTTGGTAGAAAGGGAAGATAAGAATAATTTGTTCCAATGGTCATGAAGGCAGCTGAAGCAGGCGCTGTGGAGTGCTTAGAGCTTGGTTAGACATGGAAGACACCAAGGTCATTGAGTCATCACCAGTCATCTTGATTCTGTCCTAACACTGGACTGTGATGACTCTGGAGGAGAGAGTGAGACCTATGATTTCATGCAGCTCTGCCTCACTTAAATCCAATTTACACATGAATCATAAGACAAAGGACAAAGGACATCACCCATGCCTACTTGTATAAAATGGGGAGGGGGAGAGGAAGAATCTTTTCTTAACACTTTAATTGCTATGCTATATGCTTGAATGATTTCTGATTAGAACTAATTTTATTTATTTATTTAGGCTTGCATGGTGAAAGAATGGGTACTGACTCATAGAGTAACTAACACCTGTAGTTTTTTTTTTCAGGCCCACATATGAAGAAATGCCCCCAAGTAATAACAGACTGGATAGACTAGACCTGTAATTTCATCAGTATAGGGAATTCATGGATGAGGAGACTCCCTTTGCCAATCTAGGCTGCCACCTCTGCAATTTATAGTTTTAGTTGCTTAGCAACCAAAAACTGAGAGGTTTGTGACCTGCCCAGGTCTGCAAGCCTGTATTAGTCAGAGACCAGACCTGAATCTAGGTAGCTCTGAGGTCAGCTCTCTACTCCTGACTCTGTACACAAAAGATCTCTGTATGGGAGGCAGCTTGGTGGCATAGGGAATAGGGTCTTGTACCTGGAGTCGGGAAGACCTGAATTTATATTCGCTTTAGACTTATTAGCTATGTGACCCTGGACAAGTCACTTAATCATTTCCTTCCTAACTGTTTTCCTAAGCCTTCATGATCTCCAGAAACTCATTATTTTGTAAAATGAAATCAACTCTGAAACTCTCACCTCCTCAGCAACCCCTGCTTCTGGGGTTCCTCCCTCCTTCTGACTAGAGAGAATAGAGGGTGGATATTAAAGATCTCCTTGATCCTCTACCATTTAAGGAGGGTTCTCTGGCAATTCATCTCATCATTTCCCACCTAGTTGCTTTCCTGGACTTCATGATCTCCAGAAACACATAATTCTGCCAGATGAAATCAATTCTGAAATTCTTATCTACTCTGATCATCTCCCCTTGTGGCTGCAGGACTTCATCATGCCCCCTTAACACTTTTTATGTGTTGTCTTCTCTTCTTAGATTGTGAGCTCCTTAAGGGCAGAGACCTCTTATGCTTTTCTTTGAATCCCCAGCTCTTAGGACAGTTCCTAGTATATAGTGGCAGGCATTTAACCAACCTTTATTGACTCTGACTCAATGTCTGTCAGTCTGTTTCTTCAACTGAAAAATGGGCATCACAATAGCAACTACCTCATCAAGTTGTGAAGAGGAGGAGGTGATATTGATAAAGTGCTTAGCATCTGTCTGGCACATAGTAAATGCTTCGTACATACTTTTTCCCTCCTCCCTTTCCTCCCTCAGAATAGGAAGCAATGGGATTAACTGCAGGGTGGTGCATTTCCATTGGACAGAAGGCAACATTTCCTGATGACAAGGGCTGATAATATCATCACAGGACCACAGGATCATAGCTCTAGAGTTTGAAGGAAGCTTAGGGATCAGCTAGTCCAACCCTCTGTGTCCATCAACTCCCTTTGATGACTACATTCACCATCTCTGTGACTCCCAAAACCAAAACTTCCTTACTTGGCCACCACTGCCCTTATATGCATTGTCCCCTCCATTGCCACACAGGCTTCCTGAGGACAGGGGACATTTCTGCCCCATTTCTGTTCATACTTAGCCAGTGCCTAGCACATAGCAACTCCTTATTAAATGTCTGTTGAGTCACTGATTGACTTATGTTTAGCTACCAGATTTTATTGGCTCTCTTTTTATAATCTGTTTGCATGTACCTTTGGGCATTTCAAGAATCAACATATTGAAAGGACCACCAATTTAAAAAAAAAAACCAAAACAGGAGCTAGTTAGGGAGGTAAAGGTAGGAGAAAAGCTAAGACAGGAAAAAGCTGGTTGAATGGTTTCCTTATTAGCAACTAATGAGCACATTTCAATAAATAGCAAGTCCAGAATAGGTTTGTTGGGGGAATTGTGGCTATGCACATAAGTCTGTATTAGAAAGCCAGTTTATATATGAAACTTCTCTGCCAAATTGGAAAATAAAAATGGACAGATAGGAGAGAGCTAAGCTACATGCAGTTTCTTTTAGCCTGGCACATCTCCATCTTCCCTTCAGGCTGGAAGACTAAGAAAAGTTCTCTGATGGGATTAATGTTAATTACTGAGAAGTAGCACAGAGTAGGCCTGGCCTTAGTTTCTAAGGCTGCCTCACAGCTTCCAATATTCCTGTCTCTAAGTCTCTGAGTCTGCTTTTCATCATCTAGCATTATAAACGATTAGTATAATACTTTGCATATGTTTTTATTGTTCAGTCTTTTCAGTTATGTCAGACTCTTTGTGACCCCATTTGGAGTTTTCTTGGCAAAGCTACTACAGTGGTTTGCCATTTCCTTCTCCAGCTCATTTTACAGATAAGGAAACTGAAGCAAACAAGGTTAAGTGACTTGCCCAGGGTCACATGGCTAGTAAGTGTCTGAGGCCAGATTTGAATTCATGACGATGAATCTTCCTAACCGGGTCCAGTACTCTATCCACTGTGCCACCTAGCTGTCCTCTTCAGAAATATGACCAAGGTAAAATTGACAGGCCTTGGCAAAAATTGGATATGGCCAGGGGTGAGGGGGGAAGGGTAGAGAGGGTAAGAAATGGAAGATTATACCTAAGCTGCCCACTTTGCCCTTAATAAATGCTTCATTCATTCATTGCCTAAATAGATTAAGTATAGAATGGCAGCCCAGCCTAGAACATCAGAACCCATACATACCTAGGGGCAATATTACTGATAATCAAGAATGTTCTTAACCACTATTGAAGTTGTCAGGCACTTACTATCCTAAACATCAGCACTTAGGAGAAAAAAGGAAGAGATTATCCATTTCACTCAGTTCTATAAGATCAAGTTTAAGTTAAATTTATACTTTGCTTTTCTTTGGTAGCAAATGAGGAACCTGACACTCACCTGAATGCTCAGTTGACCTTGGCTTTCCTGTTCTTGATATACCTTCTTTTGCTTCCTCTTCCTTCCCCCCACTAAAGGCACTGTCATGAAACTCAATAACATAGCCATTGATTCATCAGTCACAAGTAGTATCAGTACTAAAGAATGAACGGAATAGGAAGAACTATCATGGGTGGAGCCAAGATGGCCAGAGTACAGGCAGCAACCCAGTTGAACTCTCCCAACATTCCCCTCCAAACAACTTTTAAAAAATGTCTGAAATCAAATTTCAGAGTGCAGAGCCAACAAAAGGTCAGAAGGAGACATTTACCCAGGCTAAAACAACTTAGAAGGTTAGCAGGAAAGGTCTGTGACACCAGGGTTGGGGCCAGCCAAGAGTATGGCAGGAGACCAGCAGTGGGCCTTGGAGGTGGCTGCAATAGCAGTAGCAGCAGCAGCAGCAGCAGCAGCTTTGGGAGCTCTCAGCCCAGAAACAGTGAGGGGGTAAGACAACTGGTCAGAAAGAGATTACAGGGGACCCTTTGCTGGCATTGGGTGTAGTTGGTGCTGATTGACCCTATAAGCATTTCTGGGTCCCAGTTCCAGGACAGAAAGGAGCACTTGCAATCAGTCACAAGGGAGCCCTGGTCCAGGGCCAAGAGGAGGGCTAGCACTTGTGGCTGCAGGAGAGCAGGGGACCTGGTCACAGTCTGAAGTGCAAGAGGAGCACTAGTACTTATCGCTGCAGGGGAAAAGGGGCCTGTCCTGAGTAAGGATCAGAGTGTAGACCAGAAGAGCAGTGATCAGAGCTCCAGGATAATATCACCTAGGAAGGACAAAAAACATCAGACTATCCCCCTCCTCAAACTAGCTCTGAAAATAGCAGCATGAAAAAGGAAAAGCTTGGCACACCCCCCATCCCCAGGTGAGCAGAGCCTAATTTTAACATAAAGTTCAAAGAGAAGAAATAGGCTAGGAAAATGAGCAAACAACAACATAACAAAGAAGAAGAAGAAGAAGAAGAAGCTACTATGGAAGGGAAGAACAAGACATAAACTTCGAAGACAAAATATGAAAACAACTACAAGCAAAGCCTCAAAGACAAATATCAATTGGACCCAAGGCCAGCATGACTTTTTGGGAGAGTTAAAGAAAGACGTGTGGTAGAGGAAAAACTAGGAAAAGAAATGAGAGTAATACAAGAAGATTATGAAAAGAGAATTAATAGCTTGGTAAAAGAGGCACAAAAAATACTGAAGAAAATGTCACCTTAAAAAACAGAATTGGCCTAATGGTAAGAGAGGCACAAAATTTCAGTGAAGAAATAACTCCTTGAAAAGCAGAATTGGCCAAATGGAAAAAGAGGTACAAAAGCTTACTGAAGAGAATAACTCCTTAAAAATCAGAATTGGAGCAGTAGAAGCTAATGACTCCATGAGAAATCAAGAATCAATAAAACAAAGTCAAAAGAATGAAAAAACTGAGAATGTGAAATATCTCATTGGAAAAAAAGTGATCAGGAAAATAGATTGAGGAGAGATAATTTAAGAAGTATTGGACTAGCAGCTGGGGACACCCAGTTGGATGGGGAGGACTTTGACAACCACATGGTTTTTGACAACCACTTCATTTCTGAGTTGAAGTGAAAGCACAAGAACCTCAGTGAGAATGAGAGGGCTGTTCACCATTTACACACTGCTTATTAAGTACTAAGTGCACCCTCTCTTCCAATACCCAGGCCAGTATTGAGATTGACTCCCTCTATGAAGGTATTGATTTCTTTACCTCAATGATCTGAGCCTGTTTCAAAGAGCTCAATGCTGATCTCTTCCGTGGTACACTGGATCCTGTGGAAAAGACCTTAAGAGATGCCAAATTAGATAAATCACAGATTCATGACATTGTCCTGGTAGGTGGTTCCACTCGCATACCCCAAATCCAGAAGCTTCTGCAAGACTTCTTCAATGGCAAGGAGTTCAACAAGAATATCAGTCCTGATAAGGCTGTTGCCTACGGCGCAGTTGTCCAGGCTGCCATTTTGTCTGGAGATAAATCTGAGAATGTACAGGACCTGCTACTGGTGGATGTCACTCCTCTTTCCCTTGGAATTGAAATTGCTAGTGGAGTTGTGACAATTCTGATCAAACGTAGTTTCTAATTGGATTACAGGATTGAATATGAAGTGAGTTTGTCTTCTGAGGTCCATATCTTCTTTTTCTGAATGCTTTCCCATTTCAGTGCTCCTTTCCCTCACACCTAGTGTTTTTCTACTGCTCTTGTCCCTTTTGTGATTGAGAAACGAATTCGTACTACATTATGAGTGATGTAATGCTCAATTTTTCCATAGGTATCCATATTTTACTATGAGATTTCAGGAAGAGAGTAATGTTTAATCCAATAGAATGTGACCTTTAAGCTTAATTCCATCTCTCAAATTCTATAAATATCTATAGAATTATGACCCTAAATAGAACCTGAGTTGGGTTTGAGACCATAGGCCCCTTTAAAGCATGTCTAGAAATCTGGCAATGATGGCTGCCTGAATGGAGGCAGATAGCCTGCTCAGCAACCACGTACCTTCTCCAGCAAAAACCTGAAAATTGCACCAGACTGAATAATGATCAAGAAACAATATGAAACTACAATGATTTTTTCTATTTCAGAACTGCCCAAAAGTTCAGCCAGAAGCCCATGGGCATTAGGAAAGGGGACCACTAGCAGCAAAGTCATTACCTACATAGGCAAACAAGCTAGCAACCTTTCAGTGAGACCAAAAACTGGCCAGAGAAATGTATAGCTCCTAAGACTTTGTATCTGGAGACAATAAGAGAGGAGGACCCCCATCAGAGAGCTGCAAGGGAATCAGAAACCCCTACAGGAACCTTAGAAGCTACTGGGAGTAGCAGTGACCAGCGTGGGTGAAGTAACACCTCAGACACCCTGGGACTCTGAATTCCCTAGCACTCTGTCCTGAGATACCACAGACAGTACTAAACATTCATTTTTCTGAACCTGAAAAATCTAGGAGTACTTAACCTTGGGAGGTAGAAGAGAGCAGAGAAACACAGAGGACTTAAGGAAAACACTGACCAAGACTAACCACCCTACTCAAAAGCATGGCAGGGAGTAAGGCCGTGGCTAGCTCTGGCACAAAACCTGAGTCCAGCAACTAAGGATGGAGAGATGAGTGAGTGAATTAAGATTGCATAGGTCACTTGTAGCATTTGTAGGGTTGTGTGAGGTCCACAGGTGTGGAACATTGCATATACTGTCAGATTTTTCCTATGTATGATGAGTTTTGCTGATTTTTTTCCCTCCTTTTTTCCTAGACAACAACACCACTTACAAAGGATGACTCTCTCTGGGAGGAGAAAGGGAAGGGAAACTTAAATAAGGAAAGCCCTAGGAATGTCATAGCCAAAATCCAGAGCTTCTATTTCGAAGAAAAAAATAACGAAAGCATTCAGAAAGGAGTTCAAGTACCAAGGAACCATAGTCAGAATCACCTAAGATCTGGAAGCTTCTATTACAATCAAGAAGAGATCTTGGGATACAATATTATAAAAGACAACAGATAAAGATTTACAACCATGAATAACCTGGAAATAAATAATAAATAAATAAATAATAAACCTGGAAAGCTAAATATAATCTTACATGGAAAAAAAATGGATCTTCAGTGGAATAGAGAACTTTCAAGTATTTCTCATGAAAAGATCAGAGGAACTTTAAAATGCAAACACAAGGGCTAAGAAAAAATCTAGAGAGGTAAATTTATTTGAGCAATTGAAAATGGCTGAATAATGTTAGAGCTAACACTCTAATAGGGAGAGAAGAATCACATGTCCCTTCAGAAGTTTGTTGCTGTTTAGCTGTGTCTGACCACATTTGGGGTTTTCTTGGCAAAGATCCTGGAGGGTTTGCAATTTCCTTCATTTTGCAAATGAGGAAATTGAGGCAAATAGGGTTAAGTGACTTGCCCAAAGTCACCCAGCTAATAAGTGTCTGAGGCCAGATTTGAACTCAGAAAGATGAATCTTCCTGACTCCAGGATGGGTACCTTATCCACTGTACTACCTAGCTGCCCCAGAACCATAATGTCTTCAAAAAGTATTGAGGAAGTTAAATAAGAAAAATAGAAGACCTAGGGAGTGGATTGGTTCTGTTCTGTAGGTTTTAGAAGGGAAAAGAGAAAGGAGGGTAAAAAGAATACAATAGTATAGAAAGGAGGAAGAAAGAGGTAGAACTTGCCATTTTTATAACTGGGGTACATAAGAAAGAGTACATAAACATGGAGAAAGGGATAGGAGGAGCAGGCATTAGATGAACCTTACTTTATATGAACTGGAAGGAGAGTTGAATACACATACACACATAGAGTTTGTTATAAACTCAATAAGAAAATAAGCAGCTATAGGAAAATACCGAGGAGGGAAAATTTTTATTTTGAAAGCAGAACAAACTTCCTGATCCCAAAAGGAGGGAAAGAAACCTCAAAGTGCTGGAATCTTACCCTATCAATTATGGAATGGCCAAACAATTTTTTGTATCTGAATGTAAGCTTTACTCTATTCAGGATCTGCTGCAGGCTTGTTTTCTACTCCAAAGAACAAGATGCCCCACCCAAGTTAAACTCATCACGGCTAATCTCATCAGCATGCTGCTAACTTAAGCCTTGACTGATACCTCCTCAGCCTCTTCTTCCCTCAGATTGGAGGGCTGGAGGGTGGAGCACCAAACTCCTCCCAATGTCTTCCTTTATAGAGGGCAGAAAATGGACTTTTCAGTTTATGCTATTCTGCATCTGCTGCTCAGTTAGGTTTCAACTCCACTGAACAAGGTATTACTGGTCTTTTGCCCCACCCTTGCCTGCCTCCTTCTGTGTGTTGCCTCCCCCCATTAGGTTGTAAGCTTCTTGAGGATACAGACTATTTTTTTTTAATAATTGCATCCCCAGTGCTTAGCCCAGTTTCTGGCACATAATAGGTGCTTAATAAATGTTTGTTAGATTGGATTAGATTTATTGGATGTCATGGAATATTATTGTACCATGAGAAATGACAAAAGAAACAATTTCAGAGAATCCTGGGTAATATGTACTGATACAGAGCGAAGTGGGTAGAAACAAGAGACTAGTTTATACAAGGACAACAACACAATAAAGAAACACAACTTTGAAAGACTCAAGAACTGATCAGTGCAATGACCAATCATGTCTCAAGAGGAAGCATTTTTGTCTACCTTCTGACAAAGAAGTGATGGAATTGAGGTTTAGAAAAGAGATGCATTTTTGAGGCAGCTAGGTGGTATAGTGGCTATAGCACTAGCCCTGGATTCAGGAAGACCTGAGTTCAAAGACAGCTTCAGACACGTAACACTAGCTGTGTGACCTTGGGCAAGTCACTTAACCTCATTGCCTAATCCAAACCCCTCCCCCCCCCAAAAAAGTCTGACAGAAAGACATGCATTTTGGAATATGGCCACTGTGTTTTGTTTTGTTTTTTGTGCATGTTTGTTAAAGTCCAGAATTTTAAAAATATAAAAATAGAGTACATTCTAAGACCAGGCCTGTGTGCTGTTATGCACTGGGGGAGGGGGAACCCTTCATTGTTTTGTGCTTTCTGGTGTATGGTGTGTCCACCTCAAGAAGAAAGCCAGATAATACCAATTTTGGTGGAATCTATGAGCAAGACAGTTATAGTTTGGAGGCTAATATACTTCAGATACAGGTAGGATGGTATATGTCCCTTTTCTTATGATGTTGGCCATATTTTTGTCTTGCTATTCTTTCTTTTTTTTTCTTTTACTAACTCTGATGTTAGCTCTGATAACTGTACTGTACAGAGCTAGTGGACTCAGGGAAAACTATTTCATTTTTCAGACTGTTATTCAGTGCTTGTCATATCTAGTGCCTCCCAATTCTTTTATTGAAGACAGTGTTTATGATATAAAAAAGAGTGAGGTTTCTGTTTAACCCATAAGTTTACGTCTACCTTCTGACAAAGAAGTGATGGAATTGAGGTTTAGAAAAGAGATGCATTTTTGAGGCAGCTAGGTGGTATAGTGGCTATAGCACTAGCCCTGGATTCAGGAAGACCTGAGTTCAAAGACAGCTTCAGACACGTAACACTAGCTGTGTGACCTTGGGCAAGTCACTTAACCTCATTGCCTAATCCAAACCCCTCCCCCCCCCAAAAAAGTCTGACAGAAAGACATGCATTTTGGAATATGGCCACTGTGTTTTGTTTTGTTTTTTGTGCATGTTTGTTAAAGTCCAGAATTTTAAAAATATAAAAATAGAGTACATTCTAAGACCAGGCCTGTGTGCTGTTATGCACTGGGGGAGGGGGAACCCTTCATTGTTTTGTGCTTTCTGGTGTATGGTGTGTCCACCTCAAGAAGAAAGCCAGATAATACCAATTTTGGTGGAATCTATGAGCAAGACAGTTATAGTTTGGAGGCTAATATACTTCAGATACAGGTAGGATGGTATATGTCCCTTTTCTTATGATGTTGGCCATATTTTTGTCTTGCTATTCTTTCTTTTTTTTTCTTTTACTAACTCTGATGTTAGCTCTGATAACTGTACTGTACAGAGCTAGTGGACTCAGGGAAAACTATTTCATTTTTCAGACTGTTATTCAGTGCTTGTCATATCTAGTGCCTCCCAATTCTTTTATTGAAGACAGTGTTTATGATATAAAAAAGAGTGAGGTTTCTGTTTAACCCATAAGTTTACGTCTACCATTTAAACAAGGCAATCAAAAATGGGAAATGGACAATAGAAATGACCCTGACACTGATTACAATAATTTTATCCAGAAGTTTAACCAACGTATATTAATTAGCACAAACAAGGA